CCCGATGCCAGCCGTAATGGCCGGCACGCGTCGCCTTCACTTCCTTGTTTACTTCCGTACTTCGACGGAGAGCAACTGACGCCCCCATTACACGTGTACATCACAGGTCAAACGGCCAAAGAGGCTATTGCCGAGGGAACGTCCGACGAACGTGAGGAAAGTTTGTTTGCGGATCGAGGGGCAAATGTCGGAAAATAAAACAATTGGCGATAGATTCTGTTCGGTGAGGTTTTTGACGTCAGCAGCTGTGCGTGTGCGTTAGAATATAGGCCATCGGTGTTTCCGGTGTCAAGCAAAGACAAGGGCACATGTGCCACAGGCTTCCGCTGGTCAGAGGAGCCCGGGTTTAGAAAAAGCTGGTGGTCGAATCGGTCCGATGCTGCCGACCGGTTTCTCGTATGCTGCCTTTTTAACCGGTGGGTGATCGTTGGCACGTTCCCCGTTAAACACGTGCCATCGAATGTACACCAAAAGCGGCGCGGCTAAAATTCAGCTGTCCTTGCGCTCATTTCCACCTCCCATTGTTTCTTCGTCGTCGCTTCTCCCTCAAGCAGCTGTTCCGAACATATGTCAAGTCGACACTGGTTCGGAGGCTAGTCATTAACGAACGTCTACTGAGTGATCTTCTCCCCTTTTTGTGGCGTTCATTAATCCTAGTGCTTGGGGCATTGTACGACATTCCTTCATACTACCGTTATTTACTGTAGTCGGCATAGGTCGTAGATCGGTAGTGCAGTAGATCAGTACATACTTCAACGATGCCTGTTTGCTGAGGCTGTGACTGAGTCTGACTCGCCTTGGTTTGATTCACTAAACTACTCTGCTAGCCTCATAGTGGGTTCGCTGCATTTGCGTAAGAACTAATCTAGTCAAGGAACGGTCGGCTGCAGTCTCTTAACCACAATAATGAAGTTTGGTTGATGATATTTATTGTACGAGCTCATGATTCGTCCAATCACTGGCACTCTTTAATGGATTTTGCCCCACAGACCGTGGTCAGTAAGAGAAATTGTTCCGGAAACCTACTTAAAACTGGGCGCTAACATTAACAGGTTAATCGAACAGAATTTCTGGCAAACAAACTGTGATCTGCATGCAAATGTGCTAGATGAAAATAATAAGATCGATCATCAAATGATACATTCTGACTCAATAATGTTTGATGCAGCGAGGAGTTATTCGCACGCTCAAATTAGACATCCTGCAAATCAAATCAACTGTAATCTAACGTTGCAGTAAATGGTGATTGCGTTCCTTTCGACACCTCCTGAAAGTCATAAATCACCAGTACGGGAAAAGAGCAAAACAGGTCTATTGTTCATGTAAGCCATATCGATCGAAACCGTCCAGCTACTGCTCATCACCGGCTTTGCCATGTAGAAGCTCGTGACATGTCGACTGAACCGTCAGTAGTGGTTTGTCACGTGATAGGTTGACTATTCAATTCCATGCATAATTAAATGGTTTTTGTGCTGTTTAGTACGACTGTCAGTGCGTTAACAAAATACTCCATACCAAAAGTACGGCAAAAGCATTTCAATTTTGAGTTTCAACGAGTAATAGGAAATGTCTTCCTTCATAATGCCAAGAAATATTGAAATAATAAATGTTGATATGAAAGTTTATATCGATCGATAACATTTATTCCGTTGAATAGAAAATGGGTGATGACCATGCGACTGAAGGACGTATGACGTGGACGTTGTCCAGTGGATCATAATATCTGATGTTAAAAACTTTCTAGTTCTGTCAAGAGTATACACGTGGCTCAGAGTACAAATTCCCCGCTTGTGTCACGAGCTAACGCTGAGACGGTATTCTGCATTCACGCATCGCAGGTGCGCAAACACAACGAGTTGTCGTTCGCTTAAATGGCCTATCCGCGCCTGTAGAGGCAAGGGGGCACCGGAAGAGTGCAGCTACTTTCCTGTGCCTTGTACTGTAATTTGTATGAGTCATTTTCTGTGACGATATTGCGGCAAACAAACTCTAGTTGGTCTTAAACTTCAAGTCAATAAATAGGCGAGTGACACGCAAAAAATTTTGATGTAACTCAGGATAATCGGTTGATAAAGACAGGTCCCCAACTTCTGCCTGATTTACAACTAACGTAGTCTTTTCCGACCTTTGACCTTCCCAGATCTGAGGCAGCGATAGCACAGGTGATTTATTAATAATGGGTCGTTCTCGTCTCGTAATAGTACTGCATGTGGCCATTTTATAAACGACGCATTTGTCGAGCCCTGAGGCTTGCCACCGCTGTCTGTTCAGATTGAGTTCCATATCTTGACGCTATTTGCCTATTCACAGCATAGGCTCACGCCAGATGGCTCGCCGCAATGCTTATTGGACAGTGGTCAGGATGACGCAGAATATGAAGATGATCCATTAGGTTCTTCAGGATTAGTTAGCGATGAAAAATGCCAGCTGTCGTCTAGAAATAGCACTGTAAAAATATTTATGGTATATAGCAGAAATCAAGGGAACCTGATCCGCCATCAGCGTGTTTCCATCCAGTTGGGGGGATGAGAATTTTTTAAAGGTCTCCCAGTTTAGATGCTACTCGTAGCTGACTGCACCTGTCAGATGATTGCCGTAAAAAAGATAATTTTGCCACTAAGAAAATGCTTCTACAGGATTGCTCTATTGCACCCTCTATAATGCATGCATTTAGTCTATTAGCCTGAAAACTTCATATTTTCGCTGTAGCTGTAGGTCTGATTTATTTTTCTTATTTCTCTGAATTCAATCGAGTACCTTTGTGGTCATGTCTTAATGAAACTTGTTTGGAGAATGTCACTTGTTTTTTTTCCTTATTTCTTTTTTCTTGATTTTTCTATCCATCCGTTCATTTTCGCACATGTTAGTCCTTTCAGTTCGCTTGATCAGAAATTCAGGAAGTTTTCCCAGTTGTCTAATCGTTTGCTAATCGAGCAAGCTTCGTGGACTGGATTCTAAACGACTAGAGTGCTAAGTATGGATAGAAGTTGGATATTCATTAGAAGGATGAGGTCAATCCAGTACCCAGATGAGTGTCAGCGGCGCAAATAACTCTTTAGTTAGAGAGTACGTACTAATTCCCTTATTTCTACTCTTACATTTGTTTAATTGTCCATCATGTAATATCGTTTATAACGGCTGCTTCATGTTCGTTTTTTGGTTTTGCTGTTTCGTGTGTCAAGAAATGTGTGACATTGTTGCATATATCTCTTAAAATTTGTGATTTATAGATTCTGCTTGTGTTTAATACCGCTTTGAACCTCGGAGGTACAAAGTTCTAATTCTAAAAATAACCGCTATCGAATGAGGAATTCCTCTCACTTGGTACAATCAGCTGAGAAACGGCTAGCAAGTCGAGAGCTTGCGCACAGCAGGGATAACATGGTGTTTTGGTGTGATTATGCCAGAATAAGAGAAAGGTACGGCCAGCGGCCATGCTCTCTAACCGACTACCTTTTAGGACTACAATTCGCCTTGATCCACCTTTTAACCGACAGTTCAGTGTGAGGTATAAACCTAAAAAAATATTAGACTCCACTTACTGCCCATATAATGCTATATTACGTACAAAATTATGAACTGTTAAATTTGGCAACTCCGACATGGTCGTTAATGAGTCACGGCGGGATTCTAGTTTACTCGAGATGAAGAATGGTAATGGTGGTTGCGTTCGCATCGTCATTGAGGTTGTCAAGTGGTGTAAGCGAGGTATTTTCACTCGAAATCGGTCGTATGACTCCGCTTCCGGTTTTTGGTTCTGCTCCTGGCTTCTCTGCTCAAACCGAGAGGCCTAGTTTCAAGCCGAGTGCGCTGTCGTCGCGGCCGCCTTTGTGTACTCTGTCTTCATTGTGTGACGGAGGACGGTTTTTCTGCCCGGCGAACAAGTGACCGACGAAGTGGTAAATTGCCGCCTTTCCAATTCTCCCAATTTTCTCGCCGCCGTCTGGAAGCTCCGGAAACCCGTCCTCACGAGTGCGACGTTTTCTCGAATAAAAACTATGCACTGACGAAAGTTGGCGTCGATGTGGTTGCAGAGTCTCTCATCGAATGAGGGACGAATTGGAATCTCCACCCCGAGACCAATTCTTCCAGTTCCTGGTCGCGGCGACGGCACCATTTCAA